TGATAACCAGCATTAGGCTTGTGGTTTACTCTTAAGACTCCTCAGACTCCAAATTCTTTCGATGTCTCCCACTATTTAGAGATATTCATCTTTTCCAAACATCTGGATTTCTCCCTTCCTGGGACTCGACTGGAGTCAGATTATAGGGATGCTTTTTCTGGATCATTTTAGTATCTTCTACAGTGTTCTCTTTACTGCAGTAGCTTCATTTCCTTTCTCCAATATAATAATATAATACACAACCACACACACACAAACACACACACACACACACACACACACGTAGAGATATATTTTTTTCTCCCAAACAGAGCTCAGGGGACCCAGAGGGCCACTCCCAACAATACTCACCAACAGGGCTGGAAAGCTCAGTGATCCTGTGTGAGCCCACGGATGCAGAGCAGCTTGAACTTGGAGGTGCAGGGGGGCACTGGGGTCACCTGGCAATGTGGGGTGGGGGTGGGGATGGGTGAGGCATATGATTTTAGGGACTGAACTCTGGGCCCTACACCAGCAAGGCATGTACTCAGGGGTCACTCCTGGTAGGGCTCAGTGCCAGGGATTGAACTAGGTCTTTGGGGATGTAAGGAAGACACTTTCTCTCTCTCTCTCTCTCTCTCTCTCTCTCTCTCTCTCTCTTTCTCTCTCTGTCTCCCCACCCTGCCCTTCGCCTTTATTCCCAAGTATGCAAATGCTTTTTTCTTAAAGACAGGACTAGGGCAAGGGCTGTGTGTAGTGATTAAACATAGGCGCCTCTCCTATGGGACACCCTGGGTTCTATTCCTGGTACTGTCGAAATAAATAAGTAAATACATACTGAACCTAATCAAGCATGCCATGGTTGTTCTACTTTAAGAAGCACCTTTTTTCCCCTCCCACATTTAACATCTCTAAAACCAAAATGTATCATACAACCATGATGTCTTAGAGATCGTCAGCTCCACTATGATTCTGCAATGTGCTATTTTTTGCTCATTAATGTGGGTCATGATTCAACAACCACAATTGATCTCCAGGATTAGCTTTCTGAAGTGCTAAACCTGGTCAGGTCTGGCCTTGCAGAACCTCTTCAAGGGCTCGGTGCCCTGCACTGCCGCCCTAGGCCCCCGTTTCTCCCTCCCACCCATTTTCTCTGTCGGCCCCTTTTCTAACCCTCTTGCTTACAGCCGCGGAAATCTATTTGCAGTGACTTCCCCAAATGGACTGGGTCAAGCCAGATCGCTGTGCTTACACCAATATTTCCTCCGCCTTAATGTCACTTCCTTACTGCTTCTACTCAAAGTTACCCCTTAATACAGAATTCTTCTGATTCCCTAAGTTGAGCCGGTTTTTTCCTTCCTCCCTGCTTCACCTCTTTGGCATTTGGTGCACATTCTTGTTAAACCATTTAACACACAGTCATGCCCCGCTACATCGCTTGTTTGTGGCTCCCATAAAATAGTGAATTATTGGGTCCACTTTCTTATTTCCCCCAGGTTCGTTAGTGCCACGTGCATATAGGTGTAGGCAGGTATCCAAACGCTCCCCAAGCTAAGGCATGAAATACATTCCAACTAGCTACTCTCTTAAGTGGGACCTAGAGAGAGGGAAAGGACAGAAGCTCCCTTTGCTAAGCGTGGGCAGGCAGAGCTTGAACAATTGAACCGCTTCCTCTCTTCCTGCTTTCTGCTCCTCATGACCCACCCAGACCACCTTGAGCTAGAAGTCATCTGATTTCAAAAGCGTGTCCTGATGACCTCTTTCTTTCTCCCCTGTCTATTAAAAGTGTTTCAAGTATACAACTTTTTGTTTAAATCCTCACCACCCCTCCTGAGACAAGTTTCCACTATTGTAACCAGAGTTCGGGAACCCAGGTAGAAAGAACACTGACAGGGGCTGGAGAGATAGCACAGAGGGTAGGGCGTTTGCCTTGCACGCAGCCGACCCGGGTTCAACTCCCAGCATCCCATATGGTCCCCTGAGCACCGCCAGGAGTAACTCCTGAGTGCAGAGCCAGGAGTAACCCCTGCACATCGCCAGGTGTGACCCATAAAGGAAAAAAAAAAGAACACTGATAAATCAGATAGAAAGAAAGCAAAATGTTCTTTCCCCTGGACCCTCCCAGAGGTACCCCGGAATTCTCTGTTTGGACTTTCTCCTGCCCTAGGTGTGCACCCAACAGTCTCCACTCAAAATTCTATCCCAGGAAACAAACACTAAAATAAGAAGCTGAAGCTTAACAGTAACAACAACAGATCTTTATTTTAGTGACCATCCTAAACAGATTTGAAGTGAGTGGTAGAGAGAGAGTGCAGGGATAAAATGTTTCCTTGGGTGCAGCTGACCTTGGTTCAATCCCTGGCATGGCATATGGTTCCCCTGAGACCTGCCGGGACCGAGCCCTGAGCAGAGAGCCAGGAAGCCCTGAGCACCACTGCAGATGTGCCCAAAGAAAACAAACACTTGAAGCGAATGTTTCACTCAGTGAAAACCGTTCCCCTTTCAATACTTAAGCTGGATTCTAGAACTCAAACTGGATTCTAGGGAATACCCAAAATAGCCAAACATGTTTCTCACTTCTTCTTTCTGATCGAGATGATCTAAAGCCAACACTTCTCATTCATTCATGGAAAAGTACCAGGGTACTATTTATAGAATTAAAACAGAGCCTAGGTAGTATGGTCTGAGCAGCCATTATCTGGTTTAACTAACGTTCAAGCTGAAGTATGCTGGCAACGTTGGGGCCAACATGCCTTCAATATCCTCAGTCGGCTAAAAAGGGACAGGGTCTCGTGAAAGAATCAGAATAGTGGAGTGAACACGGAAATGGAAAACACCAAGGTAAAAATGGAGATTAGATCATAGGAAATTAAGCAGCAGAGGACTCCATGCAATAATAATATCTGATCCTGGAGAGACCGCCTGGGAAGTAAGGTGCTTGCCTTCCATGGTCAGCCCCCACTGCTGGGAGCAACTGTCAAGCACAGAACCAGGGGTAGCCTCAAGCACTGTTAGGGCAGGGGAAAGGGAGGGGGGAGGAGAGGGGAGAGGGAGAGGAAGAGGAGGGAAAGGAAGGTGAAGGGACTGGAGGGGAGGGAAGGAAAGGGAAGGGGAGGGAAGGAAAGAGAGAGAGAAGGGGGAGGGAGGGAAGGGAAGGAGAGAACTTGCTCAGTTGTTAAGCGGAAAGTGAAAAAGGACATTTAACTGGAAGTGGGGGGGAGGCAAGTCTAAACCACAGAAAGAAGAAAGTGAGAAGAATGGACTTGGTGCGGAGCCTGATTCAGCAGTGAGGGTACCCTGAGTATGCAAACTGGACTGATATACAGTATCTTCGATGTTATGTCAAATGTGTTCAATTTTTTTTAAATGCTGAGGGGAAAATTGATTTTTTTAGGGGGGAGGGGGCACAGCCGGCATTGTTCACTCTATTCTCCTCACTTGAGGGGTCCAGGCACTGCTGGGAATCACACTTACAGCTGCTCTTTGGCCTTCAACCCTCGAGTCATCTCCCCAGATCCTGGGGAAACTTTTAAAAAAATAAAATCTATACTTGTTAGTGTTTTTTTTTAACTCTTAATAAAATGGTAAGACTGCAATACTCATTGTCTTGCTAGATCATTCTAGTCAGTTGGTATGAAAGTGACTAATGTTTTCTACCCCTCCCTACCCCACCCCAACCTCCTTGCTAGAGTTTCAACCCAGGACTTACCACATGTACAAAGAGCAAATACTCTACCACGGAGTCATATTCCCACTTTTAAAAAGAATAACTAGGGGGCCAGAGAGGTAGTACAGTGGGTAGGGCATTTGCCTTGCAGGGCCACTGACTTGGTCCATCCCCATCCCAGCATCCCATATGGTCCTCTAGTGACTCCTGAGGGCAGAGCCAAGAGTAACCCTTGGGCATCTCGGGGTGCTTCCCCCCCAAAAAAATCCCAAAATTAAAAAAATAATAATAATAAATTGAAGATCAGAAATACTGTTTCTTAAAGATCAGCGAGATCATTAATGCGTGGGCAGCACACGAGGAGGGCCAGCGCAGATGTTAGGGAAAGTGCTGTCGTTCTATCACCTTGAAGAGGTCATTGAGGAAACCAGCTATAGTCTCCACAGGGGCTCGCGGCCACCAGCACGGGCAAAACCCTCCGGGTCCCCTCGGGCTGGTCTGTGTGTGCTCCAGGAGACCCGCACTCGCGGCTCAGACCAGTCCCCCAAAAACCAGCGGGGAAATGCTAGGGAGCTCTTCCGTTCCCACACTTGCAGTGAAAACAAAGTAACACCAGGCATCTGCTACATCCCGGGAATCACAGCCGCGGCGGCAATCCAGGCTGAGAGAGAGAGAGAGAGACAGAAGCCCAAAGAGGAAGGTCCCTTCGTAAGCGCGTGACAGCTCGTTTCTGCACACACTTGAGCCTTGGGGGCCCCTTCAGGAGCGCCCCAAGAGTGTCCCCAGGGGCAGCCCCAGGTCCAGAGAGGTCTGTTTAGGATGCTGAGCCAGCCGCGCCCCGCCCCCACCCCCAGGCAGCCTCGGGGTGGGGGTGTGAAATGACTCAAGCCGCGGCAGCAAAAAAACAGGCCCCTTTGGGGACGAACGAACCGCAGAAGCCGGGTTAAGTGGCACCTGCTTTTCCCCACGCCCGGAGCGGGCAGGAACCGGTCTGCGGCGGCTCTCGCGTCCCGACACCCGGAGGGGCGGCGGGTCCCCTACCTGCCCGCGCCCCGCTGCAGGCCACCCCCCCCACCCCACCCCGCGCGCCCCGCATCTCACCTAGCGCCGCGCGCGCGGGCTCCGCGCCGCCTGACTCACCCCGGATGGGCGGCAGGGGTGCGGGGAGGAGGGCCGGGTGGAGGCGGGCCGGGCCCTGCCCCCGCGAGTCAGGCAGGAGGCGTCGCCGGCGAGCAGGTGAAACTGACTCGGACCTAGCCCGGGAACTTTCGCTCCGGACGCGGCGCCCAGGGGCGGCGCGGGGCGGGGCAGGGGTGGGGGGCGCTGCTCCCCGGCACCTTGGGGAGAAGGGGTGCGAAGGGGAGGGGACGCGGGGCCCTCCCGGCGCGCCAGCCCGCGCGGCTGATGGAGGCGGGTGGCGCCGCCCCGGGCGCAGGTGACACACGCCAGGCCGGGGCCGCCGAGCGCCGAGAGGACGAGACGCGGCGGGCCCGGGGCCCTCGGGGACGGAGATGGCCCGCGAGCTGAGCCAGGAGGCGCTCCTGGACTTCCTGTGCCAGGCCGGGGGCCGAGTGACCAACGCCGCCTTGCTGGGCCACTTCAAGCGCTTCCTGCGAGACCCCGACGCGCCCCCCGGCCAGCACCAGCGCCGCCGCGAGCTCTTCAAGGGCTTCGTGAACTCGGTCGCCGCAGTGCGCCAGGACCCCGACGGCACCAAGTACGTGGTGCTCAAGAGGAGGTACCGGGACCTGCTGGGGGAGGAGGGGCTGCAGCCCGCCGGCGACCCGCCCCCGGCCACCGCCGCCGCCGCCCCCCGCCCCGGCCCGCCGCGACCCCCGCAGCAGTCCCGGCGGCGGCGGCGCCACCCGGAGCCGGAGGAGGAGCCGCCAGGTGCCGACGCAGGTGGCCCCGGGCCCCGGGAGGCGGCGCGCAGGGGCGGCGGGGACAGCTCCCGCCAGCCCGTGCCCTTGGGCGCGGCGGAGTCGCCGCGCGGCCGCCGCGGCCGGGAGTGTGTCCAGAACGGCCTGGGGGAGACCCCCGGACCCCCCGCCGCGGCCGCTGCCGCCGGAGCCCACCCGCGGCCGCGGGAAGACGCGCGCGCCCCGCCCCCGCCCGGGCCCGCCGCGCCCCGCTCGCCCCCTACGACGGTGGAAACTGCCAGCGGCCCGGCCTCGCCGCCCGCCCCCCGGTCCCGACCTGCTTCGCCTGCCGAATCCCCGGAGCCGCTGAGCGGGGTGTCCCCGCGCCGACCCACCCTGCAGCAGCAGCAGCAGCGCACCCGAGAGTGGGTGGCCAGACACCGCCAGGTGCCCAGGGCCAGCGAGCAGGGCCCGACCCGCGCGTGGTGTGTGCTGCCCGACTCGTTCCCCGGGCTCCCCCCGGAGCTGGACTTAGGGCGGCCGACCCCCAGCGCCGCCCCCCTGGGCCCCCCCTCTTGCCTCTCATCCCTGCGTTCCTGCTGGTCCCGGATCCTGGCCCGGGGACTCGCCCGTGCCAATCTTCCGCAGCATCCGTTGCCAGCTGTCCCTCCAAGATCTGGAGGACTTCGTGGACCAAGAGAGCCACAGCAGCGAGGAGAGCAGCAGCGGGCCCAAAGAGTCCCCCGGGGGTTCCGAAGAGGGCTTGCAGGTGGCCCCGGGCCCCTCGGAGGGGAGAAAGCTCAGGAATCCGGTGGGGGACCGTTCTCCGAAGGAAGCGCGCCTCGACCGCACCCCGCAGGACCTCAGGAGCCGACAGGAGGGTCCCCTCTCCCCGCAAGTCCTGGCTAGGGCTAACGGGCTTGCTGGTCACCCCCAGGAACCTCTGCCCTGGCCCGCCCCCAGGTTCAGGAGGTCCCTCCGGAGGAGCTCCCGGACCCCGAGAGCCAGACTGTCGTCGTCGGATGAGGAGCGCCTGGAGGAGGACGTGCTCAGAAGGAGCCGGCGCCCACCGCGCTCCAGGAAGCCCTCCCGGGCAGGGGCGGCGTCCAGCCCGCGGGTGGACACTGCCCTGACACTCAGGCCCGCAGACTCGAAGGCGCTGGTTGTCGCAGAGAGGGGCGGCCCGGCGGACCTCTGGGCGCCGGCTCGGGAGAGGCCTGCAGCTCTGGCACCCTACAGGCCCGTTGAACACAAGTCGTCCCTGGTGCCTCTGGACGCGCGGGAGCACGAGTGGATCGTGATGCTGGCCTGTGGCTCTTGGGGCCGGGTGTGGGCATTGTTCCTTGAGGAGCCCCAGCTGGCCCTGCACCGAGACTTCCTGACGGGCTTCACGGCCTTGCACTGGATAGCCAAACACGGGAACCTCGAGGCTCTGCAGGAGTTGGTCTCGGGGGCGCAGGAAACGGGGATAACGCTGGATGTCAATGTGAAATCCAGCTGTGGGTACACGCCACTGCACCTTGCGGCCATTCACGGCCACCACGGGGTCATCAGAATGCTGGTGCAGAGGCTGGCCTCGCGGGTGCATGTCCGGGACAGCAGTGGGAAGAAGCCCTGGCAGTACCTGAGCAGTAATACCTCTGGGGAAGTATGGCAGCTACTGGGAGGCCCTCGTGGCAAGCCTATCTTCCCCGTCTACTCCTTAGTCTCAAGCTCCTCCCCCACTAGGAAGGTGAGGAGCCAGGAAATAGCTAGAAATGTCACCCGTAAGACTTCCCTGGCTGCTCTCCTCAAAAGTCAGCACCACAAATGGAAAATGGCCAACCAGCATGAGAAATTCCCCGCCCTCAGAGAGAGGGAAGAGTACAGTGATTGAGAAGGGGCCGCTCTCCAATAAGCAGCCGCTGCCCCCCTACTCTGGGCTGATGGCTTTCAGGGGGCATCAGAAAACGGGCTGAGCCGTTGGTTAAAAGTGAGTCGGAGAAGCTGGCCTGCCTGGTGTTCTCCAGCTTGGTTTGGATCTAGGTCCTCCATATCCCAGACCTTGGGGCTCACCCCTGCTTTCTGAGGGCTCAAGTCCTTGGGTCAGTGAAGCTTAGACAAGGACAGAATAGGCGCTTAAAGCCTAGGAGGTGATCTTTCTCTTCCTATGGCGCCATGCACCTACCTGGGCAGAGAAAGCCTTATCATGCCTGAAGGAGCAATCCCAAGTCTTGGCCCCAGAGGGAACAGATGTCTAATAAGTAGGGAGGCAAGTTGAAGAATTGAGGAAACTCCAGCAAAATCCTCCCCAGCCAATCGGCCAGTCTCTCACTGGCTTCTATTCATTTGGAGGATGAATCTTGGCTGAATGTGAAAAGTATACCATCTGAAATATGATGGCTCTCTCTCTCTCTCTCTCTCTCTCTCTCTCTCTCTCTCTCTTTCTCTCTCTCTCCCTCTCTGACTCAGTGTTTTGAATACCTCCCCGCTCAAGGGCTGCTCCAGTGCAGTTAGTTTCTTGGGACTTGCTCCTGCCAGTGCTCAGGGAACTGTGTGGTGTTGGAGATCAAACTTTTGAGCGATCTACCTGGCCTCTTCACTGTCGCTGTCTCACCATCTCTGCTTTCAAATCAGAGAAATAAAATTACTACTGGACAGTAGAACTTGAGCTAAGGAATTCCTCCCCCCTGTTCTCTGGCTGTCCTCTGCAGTCTGTTGTGGCTAATTCATGAAATTAGTGCCTCTTTGGGCCTCCATTCCACTCAACCGATAAGAAGTTGAGTTTGATGGCTGGCCCTGCTTAATACATGTTTCTTTCTGAATCAACTTAAAGGGAACTTTCTAAGTATACAAGCGTGCGGTTCACTGACATAGCAAATGAAAGTCTTTCATGGGGACTCCCATGGAACAAACAGCAGAACTCTCATTCACAGTTCTCAATAGGAGAAATGGCCAAGGTTCATACTCATGAAAAGAACCCAGTGATTCCAATCTGGGAGAACAATAAGAACCTCCAATAGGAGTCATCTCAGCTGCTAAATATAATTTTCTTTGCACTAAACTTATTGCCAATAAAGATTAAATATTAGCTTTGATGTGGTGTCTAGCTAAAGGAAGTGCACCTTTTAACTGACTGTGATGGGACTGATCTTCATGGGCCCATGCAATTAGAGAGTGTTAGTAGTTTAGAAACTGCCGTAGAACATCAAGATTTCAGATTGTAAATCGAAAGAGGGCCCGAAAAGGACGTGCCCAAGTGGAAACTGTTCGTTTTTTATGGAAATATTTCCTTATGCTGTTGTTGTATGATGTTGTATGTTTAAAAAAAAAAGTATTTTTGTCTTTCTTCTGGTTATTTCCCCCAGTAAAATATCAATAAATCTTTATAATTTATTGTTCTTATACAGATTCACATTCTTCTTTTATTTTGGTCTTCTTTTATTTTGGTCACCCAGCAGTGTGCAGAAAGTACTCCTGGCTCTGTGCTCAAGAGTCCATATGTGTGTGTGTGTGTGTGTGTGTGTGTGTGTGTGTGTGTGTGTGTGTGTATGGAGAGAGAGTGCTGAGGGGATCATGGACCAAACAGGGTGTAACTGCATGCAAAGAAGATGCCTTATCCCCTATATGCTCTTCTGCCCGGTTTGCGTTCTTCTTTACAAAACCATACCACGGTGTGTGTCAAGGTTTTATTTCTTTGTCGTTTCCCTTTGTTGCCTGTGGAGATTCCAACAGGGGCCTGTGAAGTGGGGATGGGAGAGGTGGCAGCCTCAAAAAAGAAACCGACTGCTTTTCTCACCCACTTCTGTCACCCAGGACAGTGCCTGGGAGGTTGAGGGCCCATGAGTCTGCTGTGAGCCGCTGCACATCAGCAGTGCCCACGGCCCGCCAGCCCCACCAGGCAGCAGTAAAGCTGCCCCTGGAGTCGACTTGCGCTGCCCAGCCTTGGCGACGATCCCCTCCACCTTCATTTCTCAGGGATCTCTGGACTCAGGGTGGAGTGAGGAATTGCTCTGTGCACAGTCAGTCCGAAACCTTCCCCAGGCTTTTTGGGTTTGTTGCCTTACCCTCCTATCAAGAATTGCAGGACGAGATGACAGTGAAGTTTAGCCGTTTTATTGGGAAATAAAGGGAGGTAAAAAGAAGTAAGTGAAGGGAAATACTCAAGAGAAAACCCGGGATTCTCCAGAGTGGGGAGGGCTGGTACCCATGCCAGTGCTAAAGTATGAAAGGACAGACGCGGGTGGCATATGCACTGGCGCCATGAGTGCAGGCAATGTGGGTACAGGCGACTCAACACGCTTTCCCTTCGCCCAAGTGAATTCATACACACTTTTCCCCAGCTGCGCCACCCCAGTCTTTTGCTAGGACCAAAGGGCGGTTTGGAGCGACTGGTGGTCGTTTGCTCTTCCCTACCTGGCCATGACTGCTGGCTGTGCCAGCACCTCTCTGCCCACCAGTCACCTCTTTTCTCAGGAAGCCTCTTTGCACTTGGCCCGGAATTCTGCATGGTTTCTAGGCTCCAGAGATGGGTCCTTTTCTCTCAAAGGCCTCCATGTCTTCTGGCTGGTTCAGGTTTTAAAAACTTGTCCCCACCCCCACCAAATAAATGACCAGACCCTCCCTATTACCTGCCTGTAACACCTTTATCATTCTGCTGAAATCAGTGCCCCTGTTATTTTAGAAAACAGACACAAGTAGGCATAAGAAATAAACCTAAGCTGTGTTTTTCCAAAAAGGTTATAAAATGTCAAAATCATGAAACAAGAGGGGCTGGAGCGATAGCACAGCGGGCAGGGCATTTGCCTTCCATGAGACCGATCCACCTCCCATATGGTCCCCGGAGCACCACCAGGAGTGATTCCTGAGTGCAGAGCCAGGAATGTCTCCTGAGCATCACCGGGTGTGACCCCCTCCCACAAAAAAAAAAAAAAAGCAAAAAAAAAACATGAAACAAGAAAAGTATCACAAAACCAACTAAAAAGTAAAAGAAGATTTTTATTTTAATGTCTCTTTATCACTATATTGATGTATTAAATTAATATATTTTGCTTAGTGCTATGGGGGTTTATTATGACTGAGTAGAATTTGACTTCTTCCATTTTGAAGTTAATATCTAATAAGATTTTTTTTATTGACTTGTGCCATATCTTAGCCCCAAGTTGTCTCTTAAAGCTATGTTACATCAGATAGAAGTTTTTAGAAAGAAGCAAAGAGGGAGGAGGAAATACCAAGAATAAAGACAGAACAACCACATGAAAGGAAAATACAAAGTTCCTAAGTAAAAAACTAAATGTACTTAGGGATGTTGGAAGAGATATTCTTTGGGGTTGGGACAACCAGAGAGGGCTTCCTGGAGGCCAGCCCCTAAGTAAAAGATTCCTGCTTTCCGAAGGAACCAGCTTTGTTGGTTCTACCACATTCTTGGCTTCAGCTTCACTATGTGATTTGCATAGCACAGGTATTGGCTGATTACTCATTGGTCAGAACACTGTCCAGGGTCTCAGCTTGGTTCTCATGAGGAGTTGTCAGGTCTCTCTGACCTTTGCCTGTACATCACAGCTGTGATCAACTCTCTTACTTGACCAACATGTATGTTGGGATGGGTCAGGGCCGAAGTGGGTGTTGATTGTGGAGTAAAAAGATTTGATTGTGTCACTGTCTTGCTCATATGGGAGAGCCCAGACGAGGAAGTCTTCCAAGCTCAGCACCTTCTTCCGGCTTCCTGCCAACTGCCATGAAATCCTCACACATTAGTTCACTGGGTGTTCATGGCCAGTGTCCCTCTTAGTCTTGAATTCCTTCAGCCTAGAATCCCTTTTGCTATTTTGCTGGTGATCTTACTTTTTTAAGGGATAGATTAAGTATCACAGTCTTTACGGGGATTGCTTTAGACATACTGTCCTGTCCTGTCCTCCGTTTGTTCATTGATTTGCTCGAGCGGGCACCAGTAACATCTCCATTGTGGACTTGTTGTTACTGTTTTTGGCATATCGAATACGCCACGGGGAGTTTGCCAGGCTCTGCTGTGCCGGCGAGATACTCTCGGTAGCTTGCCGGGCTCTCTGAGAGGGGTGGAGAAATCGAACCCGGGTCAGCCATGTGCAAGGCAAACGCCCTATCCACTGTGCTATAGCTCCAGCCCTTAGACATATTATACTTTATATTTATTTACTTGATATTTATTTGTATAATATGCATAATGTATTTTAGACATAACATACATAATACATTAAATATTATGTCTCAATAATACTAATACTGTCTACAAGCCCCACTCACAGTTTTTGCTACATAGCATTTTGGTAAGTTCTTTGAATATTTTATTCTTAAGATTTTGAACAACTGGAGATTAGACTGCATATTTAAAAAAATTATTTGAGGCACCATGCTACTGTTCATGAGAAAGTTGAATGCATACAACAGCATTCCAACATCATAACCTTCAGTAGAGTATCTGCGTCATTATTATTATCATTATTATTATTATTATCATTATTATTATCATCTTTATCCCAGGAGCTCATCCCATTTATCCCCACTAGATAATATATTTTCAATTCATCTAAATTAAGTAGCAGTGATGGAATTATACTAGGTGATAAAGTTACAAACCCTACCGTTAAGAACTCATAGTTGTCTGGGGAAGGAGAATGAGAAGGAAGCGCAGTGAAAAATAATTCCAGGAAATGGGGAGCTAGCCCAAAGAGCTGGAGCATGTACCTGGCATGCACAAAGCCTCAGATTTGATCCCTGGCACTGCATGGCCTTTCTAGCACAGCTGAGATATAATCCTGGTGACCTCTTGCACCATTGTGCCAAAGTAGCTCATCACTGAACCATCTGATCCACACAGCTGGGCTGGCTATCATCAGGAACATTCCCTGAGCCTTCAGCTCTGCTCGGGACACTCCCCCATAATAATAGCACTGTAGCACTGTCCTCTCGTTGTTCATCTATTTGCTTGAGCGGGCACCAGTAACGTCTCCATTGTGAGACTTGTTGTTACTGTTTTTGGCATATCGAATATGCCACAGGTAGCTGGCCAGGCTTGCCGTGCAGGTGGGAGACTCTCGGTAGCTTGCCGGGCTCTCTGAGAGAGAAACCGAACCCTGGTCGGCCACGTGCAAGACTAACACCCTACCCACTGTTGTCTAAGGCGCCATAATAATAATAATAATAATAATAATAATAATAATAATAAATTCCAATACAGTGAGGTGAGGAAAATTAATACTTTTGGGGTGACAGAGAAGGAAATT